CCTTTTGTTTCTTCTTTCTCCATAGTTCCTCCCATTGGTTCTAAGTCTTCTTTACAACATGACCTATGTGAAAATATGTTTAATATGGATGTGTATGTAGAGCCTATATCAAATTGCATGCCATCTTGGAAAGGGGGGAGAGGAGGGACAGGGAGAAAATTTATAACTCAAAATCTTATGGAAGTGAATGCTGAAAACTAAAAATAAATAAATTTTTTTTAAAAAATAAAAAAAATCCAAGTCCAATTTGAAAAAAAGAAGAAGTGGGATTTGAACCCGGGTCTTCTTGGTTTAAGAGTGTTACAGCGTGGATAGAAAGCAAGCCCAAGAGCTGGGAAGACCTGAGTTCAAGCCCCTCCTCTGACAGGTTCTGGCTCCGTGACCCTAGGCCAGCCACTTAACTTCTCAGTGTTTTAGGTAACTCTTTAAGACTTACATTGGTAGAGGTGTATCATCATCTGGAAGTGCCCTAGATCAATGAAATCACAGGTGTTTATTCCTTTTCTTGACTCCCAAGTCCAGATGGTCTTGGGAAGTCTGTTTTGTTCCTGTGTAGAATTCTGCTTTTCATGTCTATGTCTTACAGGAAAAGGGAGAAGATTTTTTTTTTTAAAGGCAATTGGGGTTAAGTGACTTGCCCAGGGTCACACAGCTAGTAAGTGTGAAATGTTTGGTTTCTGGCTGGATTTGAACTCAGGTCCTCTTGACTTCAGGGCTGGTGCTCTAGCCACTGCGCCACCTAACTGCCCCGGAGAGAAGACATTTCTGCAACACCTCTGTATCCCCAGTAGGCCCGGGGCACCAGAGAGGGCTAGATCAAAGATTTCAAGCTCCAAGGGACCCCAGAATCTGTCTGCTCCAAAACTTTCATTTGACAGCTGAGACAGCGGAAACCTAGAAGGGGTTAAATGAATTGCTCAAGGTTACACACACATACTAAGTGACAGGAATCCAGCATGTCCCCAGCTATCAGGAATCCCTTCTCTCTCACCCTACTCCTCAGCCAAGGGCCTCTCCTCAGCCCCCTGCTCCACAGTGGACCGTCCAAAGGGTCACAGGCTCAGTGCACAATTTAGGGGGCCAGAAACGACTTTACAAAAGTGGCAGCAACCTCAGTACCAACTTCATTGTCCTGAAGTCTAGCTTAGCAAAGGTGGAGGAGAGATACTGGGCCTGGAGCAAAAGTGTTTTCTTTCCTGGTTTGTTCATTTGGGTCTCAAGAGAGACTTTAAAGATAAAGCTTCAGAGGTTGGGTGAGATTTTGACCTTTATTCCACAAGTATTAAGTGTATAATTTTAAAAATTAATTAATAGATAAGCCTGGTTCTTTTCACACCCACAGTTTTAATTCTTGGGTCAGCTAGTCAACTTGGGTATTCTTCCTCTCTTTCCCTCCATCTCTCTCTGTCTCTCTCTTCCTCTCTCTCTCTCTCACATCTATCTTTTTCTATCTTTCTCACATCTTTCACTTTTCTCCCTCCCCCCCCTCTCTCTCTCTCTCTCTCTCTCTCTCTCTTTCTCTCTCTCTCTCTTTCTCTCCCCATCTCTCTATCTCTCTCTGTGTGTCTTAGTCTCTCTCTCTCTCCTCCCTTTTCCCTCCTCTCCTTTCCTCCCCTCCCCCTCTCCCTTTTCCTCTCTCTCCCCTGGAGGAAACAAGGTTCATTCTAGTTGGTTCTATGGGCACAGTGCCCAGCTAAGACTGAAACTGCTCTTTCATGACTCCCTTCTCCCCACCCCCATATCCTCTAAGATCATCAAATACAACTGAATTTCAACAAGCATTTATTAAAAGTGTCTCTATGCCAGGCACAGTGCTAGGCACATGGAACGCAAAGAAAAGGAATCAGTCTTGTTAAGTATCAAGTGCCTAGCATGAGATGGCCCAGACACAGGATTTGAACCCAAGTCTTCTGACTCCAAAGCCAGCTCATTTCTCTACTTTGAGTCCTCTTGAATTTTTATTAAACTAATGACCTAATTATTCAATGGTTTATTCATTTCATTGGTGTTGTGGGGAAAAAAGGATTGGATCTGGAGTCATCAGAGGACCTCGATATGAATTCCTCTGTGGACATACTACTTGCTCTTTCTGGGTCTGGATTTCCTCAGATGTAAAACAAGGCAGATAATCTCCAATGTTGGTTCCAGTTCTAAATCCTGTATATAGCATTTTAATTCTGCCGAGAGCAATTCTATGAAATGGGTACACTATGATGTGCATTTTAAGTGTAGGGAGACCAGGGAGGTTGTGTACTGGTCAGAATGATCCCCAGGTGTCTGAGGTTCTGTTGCTGTATAATGTATATTTGTATAGTGAAGGCAGAAGTGTGGACCCTATCAGCTTTCCCTAGTTTTAATAGCATGTATTTGTCTTCAAAGAGGCTCTTTGGAGTGTAGCTCACCTCTGAATCTCCAATCTCAGTCACTTTACAACCCTTATTGTGTATTTTTTGGGCAGAATCCCTAGAATGGCTTTGGGGAAACAGGATCACAATTAAAGATTCAACAGAATTTAAAAGACTTTCCTAAATTCAAGAATTGTCAGGACCCAAGAACTATGAGTCTCCCATGGCTTAAAGGGCAGATTTAGTCTTGCTTTAATAATCTCAATTATGTTTTGTGAAATTTCTCTATATAAGACTGTGATAACTATTCCCTCTAAGATGTAACTACAAATATGAGTGAAGCTAGTAGGGTTTTTGGAAGGGGTTTCATTTTAACCTGAAGGTGTTATCGTTCTCTTTATTTCTTTAGTGCCTTGATGAAATGTCCTTTATTCACATAACGTGCCCCTGAAATTCTTTCCTCTCTCATTATCTTTTTGAGGCTCAGAGATAAAGCCACTTGCCCAAGATATCACGATTAATAGGAAAACCAAGAGTAAGTCACAATTTGTTGGGTTTTCTGAGATTACACCAGTACAGTATGAGCCCCAAAAGGGCTGAGACTGCTTTCAGTTTTGGTTTTTGTATCCCCAGAGCTTCATAAAGAGCAGAAGCTTAATAAATATTTAGTGGAGGCTGATTTCTCAAACTAGGCCATAAACTACTAATTTGTACCCCTCAACTCTCCCAAATATGAGCTAGAATAGTGTTGGGTACCCATTAACGGGTGTTTAATAAATATCAGGGAGATTATATGATTGAAACTTAAAGTTAAATCTCTATTTTACCAACTGGGCAAATCACTTCACCCTTCCTCCTTAAAATTAGGGTATGTCGGGGGCAGTGAGGTGGCGCAGTGGATAGAACACAGGCCCTGGAGTCAGGAGGACCTGAGTTCAAATCTGGCCTCAGAGACATAATATTTACTAGCTGTGTGACTCTGGGCAAGTAACTTAACCCCAACTGCTTTGCAAAAAAAAAAAAAAAAAATTAGGGGACTGGCATATGAAAGAAGCTCCAAATCACTGATAATGAGAGGACTATAAATCTATTTTCGCATCACACTCAGTAAAATGACAAGGATAGGGATAGCCACTGCTGGAGGAGGTGTAGAAAGATGGCGACACTTATGCATTGTTGGTGGAGCTGTGAATCTAGCCATCTTACAAAGCAATTGGGAATTAGGTGAAGAAAATGACTCAAGCATCTGTACCTTTTGATCCAGAGATTCTACTGCTATGCTTATATTCCCCCAAGGCGGTCAAGGAAAAAAAAAAAAAAAGGAAGACCCCATATAAGCCAAAATGTTTTTAGTAGCAAAGAATTGGAAACAAAGTAGATGCCCTCATTTGGGGAATGGTTAAGAAATAGCAGCATGTGGGAAGACATAAACTTTGAAGATAAAATAAGCCGAACAATAAAAGTAATAACACATACATTGTTAATGTTAAGAACAAAACAAAGCAATTGAAACAATGCTATGAAGGCAGAAGGACCCAGCTTGGCCCTCAAGAGATCAATCAATCAATCAATATTTATTAAGTTCTAGGCATTGTGCTAAATGCTGAGGATACAAAAAGAAGCAAAAGACAGTCCCTGACCTTGGGGAGTTCACAGTTTAATAGGGAGAAGACACGCAGAGATATGAGAAAGTACCTCCTCCTATTTCCCACAGGTGGGGTGGTCCACGCTGCCTGTAATAACAGACTTAATTTTGATATGTTGGTTAGTTTTGCTGAACTGTCTTTTTTCTTCTTTTTTTATAAGGGGCAGTGGCTCTCTGGGAGGAGGAAAGGGGAATATGTTAGGAAATGGAAGGGACATATAAAGAAAAGCAACCAATAAAATGTATTCTAATCATTTTTAAAGGAGGCGTTTCAGTAGGCAGCCTTGGGAGTCCTTCCATGCCCCCTCCCCTATGCTTGGGGAGCTGGTGCCTGGTGCTGTCTCTGCTACATACATCTGGCCAGAGTTTGGCCCTGCTTTCCTTCAGGCCCATACCTCACTTCTGGGACCCTGAGGTCACTTTTTTGGCCCCCAGCCCTGTCTGTCAGTCACATAAAAAAGTCATGAAACTGCCTGGATTATATTAAGCCAATGCAGACTTCGAGGCAGGGGTGGG